GTAATTGCAATGAAAGAAGAGTTGACTAAATTTATAAGAACTTCCATTCCATCTACCTCAATCCGTGCACCCCTTTTTTTGTCCGATCAAATTCTTTCCCTCCACGTGATTAATATCCAAAAGAGACATACAAAGAAAAGTATAAGTAACTAATCCCTATACAATATCCTAAACCCCTAATTCTAAAGTAATAAAAGGGTTCTTTCTAATGTCATAACTACGCTTTCAAGTTAAACCCCTCCACCATTCATGATATCTCTCACTTCCATTCACTCTCAATTAGGGTTTAGTTAAAATCATGGATCTTATATAAGCAAACATTGTTCCTACAACCAAACATTAATTAAAACATCCTTAATTTTCGAATTAAAGTAAACCACAATTTAGAAAAACTTGCATTTCATGAAAAAGCCCTATAATACTCTCTAAAATTCTTCCAAAAGCTCATTAGAACAATAGGGATCAAAATTCTATGATTAGGGAAAAAGCACTAAATTTCAAAAATCAAAACTTTCATCATTCATTCAATATTTTTCATTAGAAGCCTCCTTAGGTTAATAGAAACCTCATTTGTGAAGATATTTTCAAAGAAACAATTTTTTGAGCAAAACCCTAATTTTCAAAAATTCATATTATTCACAAAAACACTTCACATTAGGGTTTAAAAACTTCCCCTAACCCTTCCCTAAACTTTTCTCAAAGGAACCTTAAAGAAAACTCAAGTTTTCCTAAAACCCTAATTTCATTCTTTTAGAGAAAACTTAAGGAAGAGAAAAGGAAACACTAGCAAACTACTTACCTTAGCCTTCCTTACAAGTTCCCTTCAATTTCCCTTGAGAATCGTCGTCGGAAACCAACCCTAGGAAAGTCGGCGTCGCCTCCTACCCGCGGTCTCCCCTTCTCCTTTCGTGTTCAGTCCACAAGCATGGATGGGGGACCGAAATATTTCGGTCCCCTATTTAGAGTGGAGGCCTCATACTAAATGCCCAAAGTCCCAATTACCCTCACTTAAACATCCTCTCTACTCAAAAGGCATAAGGGTTAAAGTTGTCATTAAAAATATTCCGAAATTTTTAATTTTTAAAATATTTAAAATTTCTTATGTGTTCTATACATCAAAACGATCAGAATTTTACGCTCTATTTTCTAAAATTATTCCCGTGGAAATCCGACAACCTCAAATTTTCCACTTAAAACTCGTCGCGGCGCTTTGAAAAGCGTGCGAAGCCTAAAATGGCATTTTGCGGGTTTTACATAGGCAAAGGTTCTCGACTCAACATAGACTTTCAATACTCTTCCCAGTACCTAACAAATAGGATAGATACATTTGAATCAAGTTGTAAGGACCAGGAGAAGAGTGATTAATAAAGGCTTACATTTTTTCATTTATATCTTTTCATATATTTAGGTGTCAAAGCATGAATTTAAAAGCTCAACTTCTATTTTTATCATTAGGGGGTATATTTAAGTCAGCTTGCCAAGTTGCGACAGCATATTTCATATTATTTTATAGCTATCAGTGCACACTGTTGTATATTATTGTGATTTTTTTACAGTAACTTGATATGCTATCTTATCTTTATTATTGATATATAATTGTCACACAATTTTTTGTACTTTCATATAATTTCTTTACAATATTTTAATATGTTGTCTTCGTTTTATTATTTATATACGATTGTCCGGGATATAAATAATATTGTGATAAACTATTAGGATAAAATCTTTTCTATCAACTTTAATAAATTAATAAATAATTAAAAATTTCAGGAAATGACTTTCTTAACTTAAAATTTTAAAGAGCTCTGTAAAGACATTTTCTTAAAAATAAAATTTATTCTTTTTGTATCTCCTAGATGAGATAAAAGATTGAGCAAGCTAGCAATTAAAGCCCCAAAGTGCTAGTGTATCACTACAAAAAAGTTAATAGTTTGAAGCAGACTTTACGGAAGAATTTTTTTGAAGAAAATGGCGATGGATGTGCGACGAAAATCTTTGACGAATTTTTTGCGGCGGAATTTTCGTCAAAAATTTTGTGGCGGATTTTCTGCCGCAAACAATTAATAAATAATTTTAAATTAATTCAATTAACTAATTAACAAACTTCTTAAATTACATAAGAATTTCACGGTTTGAATTAATTAACTTGCTACGGTTTGAATTTCATGATTTGGATTAATTAAGAATTTCACAGTATGAATAAATTAACTAACTGCTTGTAATTAAAATTAACTAAAAAACTACTTTGAATTAATTAAATTAAGCTTAAATTATTTAATTATATTAAATTTAAATTAAGCACTCAACTAAGTTAAATTACAAGCCCACTGTTAAATTAAATTTTAAGTTAAATTAGTTCAATATGTTAAGTTTAAATTAACTAATTATAAAGTTAAATACAACAACAACAACATCAAGCCTTTATCCCACTACGTGGGGTCGGCTACATGAATACTTTTTCTCCATTGTGTCCTATTAAAGGTCAAATTCTCGTTTAAATCTAATAAAGAAAGGTCATTCCTAATATTTTCTAACCAGGTCTTTTTAGGTCTGCCTCTACCTTTCTTAACATAAGCCAAATCTAATACCTCTACTCTCCTAACCGGGTCAATGGAAGGCCGTCGTTTTATGTAACCAAACCATCTAAGGCAACTCTCTCTAATCTTATCTTCTACTGGAGCTACTCCAACCTTTTCACGTATATGCTCATTTCGTATCCTATCTCTAAGGGTAAAGCCACTCATCCACCTGAGCATCCTCATCTCTGCCACACTTAACTTAATATTATGCTTCTCTTTTAATGGCCAACATTCAGCACCATAAAGCATTGCAGGCCTCACTGTAATCTTATAGAATTTTCCCTTAAGTTTGAGGGGTACTTTACTATTACACAACAAGCCCAATGCATTCCTCCACTTCAACCATCCAACTTGAATTATGCTGATAATATCCCCATCTATTTCACCATCACTCTGAACAATAGATCCAAGATATCTAAAACGTGTACTCTTATTAATGACTTGATAGCCCAAAGTCACAATCCCCTTACTAGGTCTATTACTACTAAAATTACACTCCATATATTCCGTTTTAGATCTACTCAAGCGAAAACCTTTAATCTCTAATGGTGACCTCCATAATTCAAGTTTACTTTCAACTCCCTCTCTAGTCTTATCAACAAAAAGAATATCATCAGCAAAAAACATACACCAAGGTAATTATAAAGTTGAATAAACTAACTAAATAATTTAGAATTTCAAATTAACTAATTATATTACAATCTCCTGCAAATATTACAAGCCTGGCTCGGGCTCACTGGTTTGGCGGGCAGGCTGGGGCTCTTATTGGATACAGGGGGCAGGCTCCGGCTCACGATTTGGAAGGTGAGCTGGCTCGGACTCACGAGCTGGCGCTCGTTGGGTTGTAATCTTTTTTTGGATGACTTTTACGGTGAAAATTCAGTCACAAATTTCCGCCGCAAATTTGCAACGGAATTTTCGCAGCAAATCCGCCATAAAAACTTTACGACGGTTTTTTTCTGACGCAAATATTTTTCCGACGTGGCTTTTAGCATCAGAATATAATCCGCCGTAAATCTAATTTAGCAACAGATTTGGCTTGTTTTGCGTCGGATTTTTCCACCGGAACTTGACTACTTTTCTGTAGGGAATATTCATAACAAAGCCTAACAATTATGCATAATAGAAATATCTCATACACTTAAGGATAGATAACTTTACATTACATATGATGACCATCAGGATAGAGCTCTTTTATTAGGCATGGATTTTAATATGCCTAGGGGTATTCGTATGCTAGATAGTGACAGCTCTGACTCAGATAGGATTGTAAGCCCAATTAAGTGGCTCGAGTTGTGTAAAACTGCACTATCTCATTTATTTATGTCTGAGGGCAATTGCCTATACCACTAGAGAGTGAAAGTCCTTCATCTTTTCCAATTCTAACTTTTAGAATTCATCTGTCTAAGGAATTTGAGTTTATTTCATTGGTTTGAAATCATGAGGCTAATATTAGACGATGCACTTCATGATTATTGATAGAATCCCTCACTGTTGAGTTAGGTCAACTATTTTCTTAATTAAATGATTTCAAACTTGATAACCTGGATATGATAGATCCATAAAATTCTAATTAAGGCTATTTTTATCATTTCCCGAATTTCTTACTCCCTATCCACTATCATTTGTTGAGCCCGTCATAATCATTTATTTAGTCTTCGATGATTCAACGAGTTTAGCTATATAGAATTCTTATGCAAAAAGATGATCATCTTGTTTGATCACAGAGGTTCACTCTCTTCCATGAAGATTAATTCATCTTTAAGCATAAATTGAACTATTCAATCCAGAGTCATAGAATCATGGTCTTTCCTTTGATAACTAGTCTAAATAAATCAAGATAAATGCATATTTTATACATCAATAGTTGCTCTAAAAGGTGTCCTTGAGTGTAATTAACCTTTGATAGTTTAATCCCCATAGTAGATAGAGTAAGCCACACACTCTTGATTTTAATTTCTAATTCTATGATTTTTTGTGAATATTTTAACACAGGTTCACATAGGATTTATTAAACTTGTCACTCAAGGCTCCTTTTCTTATCTCTTCATATGAAATACTATACACGAGAACCACACCTTCATATCATTATCCATCCCCTAAACACCACCTTGGGGTTTAGGTGATATGAATTACTACAGTACACAAATATTCAATACTTAACCCCCGTGATGAAATTCCACATTGAACCTTATGCGTTGCTAGCAAAAAGATCGGGATCACATTGCTAGGGATTTCAGAAGCAGCGAACCATATAAAAGGGAAAACCTATGAAGAAAGATTTACAAGTTGCATTAACCAAGTGGTTTATCATCTAGCACGTAAGAAGAAAAAAAAAAGAACCTTCTCATTTTTTTTTTCAAGTAAAGGTAGAAAATTAGAGAATTAACAGGAAATACGAAGGGGCAAACAATTTCTCACCGCAAGACATCCTCTGTACTTTTCCCACTCGGCGACGCACTCTTCTTTATCGCACTTGCCCTTGGAGAACCTCTCCGAAAACCACCTGGAATTCACGGATGAATCCATTCCAAAAGCAAGCAAGATTATCGGGTGAAGAATCTTCAAGAGAATAGGAGAGCAAGTGAAACCTATTAAAGCAGTCGTGGTATGCGGTTCGAAGATCGGCGCACTGAGAAGCTGGAGAAGACTTTACGAACCCCATGAAGAGGAAAGAGAGAGAGAGAGATGGAGAATAAAAATGTAAGAGAGAAATTATTGTGTATGTAATCCGGATATAGAGTTATGTTCGGATGTCAATAAAATCTTTATGTCTGGTGTGCTTATGTGAAAAGTTAGGGATATTCATTTGACTTGTAACCCGACCCGTTTAGTCTTTTCGGACCGACTGGAGACGAACAGACATCTGCCCGCCCAAAATAAAGGTAAAAAGATGAAAAGACAGAAATTTTTCACATTTCAAGCGCCAATACAGTTTTCCGGCATTCGCAATTCTCCGAGGTTCCTGCAAAAAATTATTCTCAAAACTTCCAACATTCTCTTCTGCTCAAATGGAGGAAAAGGAGTCACCTGCAAAAAAAAAGGTATGTTATTGCATACAACAAATAAAGTGTACTCCGTATTTTCTTGGTATTCACTGTGTATTTGCTAAAGAAATCATAAAAAATAAAAACATCCCGATAATGATATAATATTATATATTTCTCACCTTCTACATGATTTCTGTGTATATTTTGCTTATTCTTTATGTATATGTTTTTTCTTTTTTTAAAAAAAAAGCTGCAAATGCATTTAAATAAAAGAAGTTATTACAATCTACTTAGTGATAGAAACATTATCACTTTCCTCCTTAACCAAAGAAAAAAAAACTAGGAGGAACATTATTTAAATCTTCCCACAAAAAAATTACCATCTAAGGCTAAGTTAGCACAAAGATGTGGTAACTTATTGCAATCTCTATTAGCAAATTGAATTGAAAAACTCCCAAAATCATTAAGAAAAGAAAAGTCTTCACCACTTTCCTCTTCATTTGGCGAGCCTAGATTTCCAATTGATTTATTGAGATAATTGATAATATTCAAATTATCACCTTCTATGATAATGCCTTTAAATTCCAGCATCCATTCCTTAATCATGATCTTCAAATGCCGAAAAGCCAATGATTCCAAGAAGCCACTATCCCAATGCAAACACTTATAACCAAAGCCCAGCAGCATTCTTCCTCTATTGTCTCTAACAACACCACCGAGTCCAGCATCATTAGAATGAACTAAAGCTGCATCAATATTGACTTTGATCCATCCGGGTAGAGGGGGATGCCAAAATGAATTCAGCTTGAAAAGATAGTTAACATCCCAGTGATCTGAATAGAGAGTACATTTAGATGAGATAGATGCATAACAGACCACATTAGAAACATTATTCACCAAGCCAAGTTCATTCCCATCATGAACTAACTTGTTTCTACTCTTCCATATGGAAAATATCAATGAACGATAAAGATGTATTATAAAAGGATTTGTTTTAACAAACCTTTTCAAATTTTGTACACATTCATGTATAGAAGAGAAACTTTGAATCTGAAAGCCCCATTGATTAAGTAAGGCTAATGCTATAGTTATCTTGCCACAACTGGTCGCCACATGCTCTATATTTTCTACCATCCTGCAGCCTCTCGGACAATGGTTTTCATTTAGTAATCTCCTCTTCATTAGGAAATCTGTAGTTGGGGTCGCTTCTTTTAATAGCCACCACCAGAAGCAATCAACTCCCGAATTCAATTTAAGCTTCTTCAACCACTTCCATTCCTGAACAAGAACAGAGTGCTCTACAGATTTCCGATATGTTGCTGCTGCAATAAAAGATCCAGTGAAGTTGTTGATTAATTCCAGCTCATCCTTTAATAGATTTGAATAAATCTTAGTGCCAGTAATCACGGATGTAGACGAGCCTTTCCCTTGGAGATCCTCCCTCAAATTCTTCTAAGGCCACAGGAGGAGCAAGATGCAGCAAGTACGGAGCAACCGTGTGATCTCCCTCACACCTCTTCTCCCTCACAACGCTCACCTTCTCCTTCCTCTCTCAACCCTAAAGAACTTCTCTAGAGCTCTCTCCCTTGGAATCCCTCTCTAACCACATTCACCCCCTCTGTAATTCTTACTGAAAAAAGACTTGATTGACATCTAAAAACGGCTCCAAAAATCCTCTGATTTCAAAAGTAGTCGTTATTGTTCGTACAGTACGATTCAACATCGTACAGTACGATCTTTATAAACAGACGTCGTCCTGGTACGAAGGTGTACGAACAATTCAAAAATAATTCGTACTATACGATATAATATGGTACGGTACGATCCACAAAAATACTATTCGTACAGGCCGATGGTCTGGACGATCAGATGTCGTCTCTGTTCATTGTATGGTACGATTACTATCGTACAGTACGATGTGATAAAAACCAAGAGATCGTCCTGGACGATATCCGGGACCATCAAACTTCGTCTCTGTTCATCGTATGGTACGATCAGATTCGTACAGTACGATGTTCAAAATTTAATTAGGCCTGGATTTCATGCACTAATTACGGGTTAATTTAAGTAAGTATTTAAAATAGATCGTACAGTACGAAAATGTTCGTACAGTGCGAACGGCGCAAAAACACTTAAACTAAACTACGGCTAGGGTTTTGGATCTGAATATATCGTACAGTACGAAGATATTCGTACAGTATGATCTATTCACAGAATCATCCACATAGCTTTGATCGTACGGTACGAATTAAAATCGTACAGTACGATCTCCAGAGAACAAATTCTATAACATTTTGCATTTAAAAACAAACTCTCCCCCTGTGTGTGTGCATGGTTGCTCTTACTCTTATGCATTTTGTGGTCAGACTCAATAAAATAAAAATAAAATAAATAGAAAAATACAATGTCTGACTCATACTCCTAATCTACCCGTTCTTGAGTCTTCCTTTTGTCCCGAGTCACTTGTGATCTTCCTGAAATGTTAGTACTCAAGGACAATAGCAAATAAAATAATATTCAATGAAAAGTTGTTCCAAAACACTCATTATTTGGCATCATCAAAATCTTAAACTCGGGGTCATGGGTTGCAACAATCTCCCCCTTTTTGATGATGTCAAATAATTTGTTGCAAGTAAGTACGAATAACATTTCTTTTGTTTTTGTTTTTTGTATTTATATTTTTTTATTTTTTT